GCCTTCGACGTATGAGAATATCAGAGCGCCGATAAGCAGGTAGACCATGAAGGCGATTGTCTGCAGCATCAGCGTCCTCTGACTAGCCGTCAGCCGGAAATCTCTAGCGTAATGCCCCTTCCACGCTCCGAAAGCAGTAAAGGCCATTAGCGAAGCGATAATGAAGTAGATACCCGCAGCGATGATAGCGTAGTAATACGCTTGGCTGAGAGCATGTTCTTCCATAGGCTGAATCCGGAACACAGATGACGAAGCGACCCCCACGAGCGCCATCAAAAGGAATCCAGCCAGATAGAAGCCGATAATGGTGATAGGTTGCGCAATCTCAAACGTCAGTCTCCTTGACATGTTGAGCAGCAAACTGATGTTTGCACTCAGAGCGAAGACGAGCGAGACCGAATTGACCGCGATAAGCCATTTCGGATCCGTAATCTTCGAGCCGTGTCCCTCGTCACTTCCAGGCGGGATGTAAACTCTCCATTTTTCAACGAGGGCGCAGATGGAGAAGCCGTTGGCGATGGGGCCGAATGTTCCTGCTATGAGGGGACTCGCTGTGGATGCAAACCACCATTGACTGGGTTTGTCAGCGTACGCAGAGAGACGTCGAAGTACTGAGCGACATAACTTGGATCGAGATATTCCCGCTCTTCCTGCTCCGCTTGTTCGTCTTCGTCGTGGACTGTGTCATTAACATCTTGCGCTGCTGCGCCTGCTGGCTCGTCGAGGCCGGGGTCGTTCATTGTTAGTCAATTGGTCGTGTGGTGAAGACTGCAGTAGACACAACAACGAGTCTGGGTGCATGTTGTACAAAGAAGAAAATGGAATCTGGAGATCTGGAGATCTCCTGCAAGTATGTGCACGAGGGGCGTGCATGTGAGATAACCAAGATGCGCGGGTTGTCGCGTGGACAACGCCAGGGAAGTCAGGGAGTGATGACGTAGCCCTGGAGGTCTCGCTAACTTTGACAAGCCACCAATTTCGGGTGGCTTCAAGCACAACATCAGAGAAAATTAAACGTAGAATTGTTACGATGGACGATGGAATGCATTGGTATGATGTACTGTTAGAATACCATGTCGGCCCGAAATTCATAGTGCAACGACTATGTAGAAGCTCGCCTAGACTACATGTGTGACAGCCTCGCGTTTAGCGGCTGACTCGGCTACATGTTTAGCTCTCTAGGCATTCGTATGTGTGTGATGCCCAACGTCTTTTTGTGGAACTATGCTGCGGATCTTATGCAGCAATCCACAAGCGTTAGATAATGAGCTCGGTTTCGAGCTTGACATTGCTCGCCAGCCCATTGCACGCTACACAAGTAGAAGCTTACTGTGTCGACGGGATACATGTCAGAAGGAGAAGCAGAAGGCATAGCCTCTAGGAATGTTGGAAGAATGTATCCAAGGAACAGTGGATGTAGACTTGAGCAAGTGACAACACAGGGGACTATATGCCTATATATACAGCGGGCACTGTGACTTGGCCTAGCATATCAGAAGATCAAGAGGCGTGCTTTACAGCGATACCTCTTGCAGGTTTTAGTAAGGACAGTCTGTCGAGCTCGACATTTTACCTTCTCCAATTGCCATACTATGACTCGGGCAGCTAATGAACGGGCTGGCTGTTTGCTGCATTCCCGCCTCGACTCCTCAATTATTTGTTGAAGCCTATGCTCGTTGGATGACCGACTGTCGCGAGAGACATCAGGTGAGCATGACTCGGCCTGCTGCTATCTTCCTTCGCGATCTCGTTGAACAGCGGTTCCGTCTGAGGCGTGTCGCAAGCTGGGGACATCGATCGGTATCCGAGGACTGCCTTCGGAGAGAAGAACTGGCCCAATGAGCAAGAGGGATCTCGGAGGCGCCAGCGGCTAGTAGCGTCGCATTCACTGCTCTTAAGAGGTGGCAAAGTACAAGGTGATGGGGGTGAGTGCGGAGGTGCAAACAGATCGTCCGAGCATTTCCAGGCAGATCTGCCTGTTGCTTCGTGCTCCTAACACAATCACCGTACCACCCTCAACGCCACCTTTATAATAAGGGCCCAGCTACCGACATACAAGTACCCGTAAGTTTCTCAATGCTCTTCAACTGTCTCGCAGTCACCTCGAGGTATTCGATCAGACCACGGTCGCGCCATCGCGAGCATACACAAGCAGAACGGCGGGGTAGCAGTCTACCTATGACTACAATGCTACCTGCTTTAGGGAGAAGCTCAACAAAGTCCTAATAGCATACTAACTTATAATAACAGATATATCTGCATCGCACGTCTGCACCGCGGTAAGCTTCAACCCCCGCGACTGTTACCTAACACTAACGTAACATCAGATGGACAACTCGAGATCTTCCGCGCACCACGGCGCTATGTTTCTCGGTAACCGTCTCGTCGACGGCAAGACCAAGCGCTTCGACCTGGGCGGCTTCGAGCCTACCAGCGTCACCCTCGCAAAGAGGGAGGAACGACAGAAGGCGGAACAAGAGAAGGCGGAGCGAAAGAAGGCTGCGGCGAAAGAGGCGGTCAAGGTTGTGGTGAATAAGGCGGCCCCTACCGTCCCCAAGGTCAACGAGCGATACCCGCCGTTTCGTCTCGCAGAGGTGGAGAGGAAGAAACCGGTTCCTGATGGCCCCAGGGGCGACGAGCAGTACATGCCGCTCCGTCCTGGAGAGTCGCTGTGGGATCCGAACATGGATCCACGTCGTTACAGCAACCTCTTGGGAGGCTGGGGCAAACCGCCTGCAAAATGGAGGCGCAACAAGTAAGCCCAAGCCACATCGACTTGGAAGAAGTCAATGCTTTTTCATTGGTGGAGAGACAACATCCTCTTGGAACACGCATGTAATACAAAGCTGACAAACACTCAGTTAAACGAAGCATACGAGCGAAATTCTGGAGCTGAGACTGGGGCGTCCGGAACGTTTTGCATCCTTCGGCGTCTCAAAGGACTTGGACTTCGCGGCTCACATTGCAGTGGCCGGCTTCCAACATGACGGATGCGAGAGAGGCTCTCTCGTATGGAAAGAGAGTGCGCAGCGTCATGGCTGTGTGTCCTTGTCATTCCCTCTCTCTTCGAGCGTGTAGCTTCGCATGTCGGGCTAGAGGGCCTCGGGCGAGGTATTCCTGTGATGTGGGTTCTTCAACGAGAAGCTTCGGTCGCTCTTGAGGCGGCGGGTGCCCTGCTGGCGAATAGTGCTTGCACTCCGCAGTTTGGTAGAATCATACATTATCGCTCTAGTTGCTGGAGCATGTGCAGCTACGTGGTGTCGTCGATAGGTTGGAGTACGCCGGAGTATCGTGTGCCTTCTCGGCGCTACATCATTGCGCCACAGCCCTGTCTGTCAGCTGAAGCCATATGGTTCTACAAAAGCCTCTAGGTGTCCATGGCCGACGACAAGGCACCGCCGATGCATGTGGGCATGCCCGTCTAAGCCAGCGTCGTGGCGGCTGTCGCAGCTGCTGTCGGCGGTGTCGAGATTGCGCAAATAGCAGTATAGTAGTGAGGGCATCGTAGTGTTCTATGTTAGGACACGCGGCCGATCTGTGTTGCTGTCGTAGAGGCGGTCGTGCGGTCGCGGTCGTGAGAGCGATCGAAGGGCTCAGGAAGCTGCGAAGAAGTCTGTCAGTAGTGCCTTCCCCAATGCGCCGCAGAACGCATAGCTGACAACGACCATTCCGTACTCTCGATCTCGGGAGTCGTAGTCAAGAAGACGAACGTAACGGCTGTGAGAGAAGTTGGAGTCGGCATGCATGGCGCGTCATCGCGTGTGTGGTTCAGTCGGCCCGCCATGCACGATTCAGGCACGGTACGCCAGCTCGGTTCCGGCATAGTGTCCTCTTTGGGTCACGTCTTAACGACGACGACTGCTGTAGACGTCTTCTGCATCTCTTCACATATTTACGACTTTACGACTTCTTGTGGCCGCGATTCCGTACTGTCTTACGCGTCACAGGTAACATACAGTACAGAGTCGTGCTATGTGCAGACAGGCCCGTTTGGGCTAAGTGTATTGCATCTACCTCACAAGGGGTTGGAAATGTAAGTTGGTCCCACCCAACGACTTGTAAGATGAAGCGAAGTCTTGACAACACTGGTCTTGTTGCAAATGTGACCCATGCGATAATACCTAGGTAGGTTCAGTACGTGTGTACATGTAAGAAGATCTCCCATTGCGACCTTTCCATTCTTATCGACATCTCCCACTTCATTGTCAAGTCACTTCTCAGTCCTCATCTTCGCAAAGCGCCCTGACTGTCACATATTCTAGAGGCAGAAAAGTACACCTTCGTTCAAAGTAAGAGAAAAGGAAGCCAATAGCTATTCGCTGCTCTCAGCAACAATTCTTCCATGTTGCTGTGGTGTGAGAAAATGGCAACGAGCATGTCAGACGTGTATTGTTATGAATCGATCTAAATGCCCACGAACACATCACTTTCAGTCTGATAGGATTCCTCATGCGGGCCTCGCCATCTCCATAACTCTCACCATTCTTCTCATCGTGGGGCCATCCCCTCGAGCGTCACTTCACCGCTATACGTGCGTGCCATATACAAAAGCTTGGGTATCATATTGCCCGGCTATTCTTTAAACTTAAGTCGAACCGTCCATTCTCAGTCAACATCATAGTCTACCTGTCACAGCTGTGTGAAGACCACTGCATCACCTCCCAGGGCGCCGACACCATCCTGATATCACCGGGCAGGTACGCGCTATTTCTCCACTCTCTCCTTCACCTATCCTCGCTCACTTGAGTTTTGGAAGCTTCTAGCCTCTCGCTCACCGTCGTGGTCACCCAGGCACCAGTATCTCCTTTGGAAAGCGCGCTAAGCGACGCTACTGCGCACAGCTCCTACCCTTTCTGTCCATATAAACAACGCAAGCTTTTCTACCCGCGAACTCCAACTCCCTTACCCCACATCCCCAACTCTCATCCACACTGCGATTAGCAGTCTCATTCAAGCAATAGCTACACTTTCTACACACTCTACCTTCTTCCCTTATCGTCATGTCTGACGCAGGAGCTCCCGAGGCGACTGCGACCGACGCCGGCGCTGCCCGCAAGGAGCAGCAGGCTCAAGATCTTGCGCGCGCCCAGGAAGCCGGATGGAACAATCCTGTTCCTTTCCAGTATGACACCGTCGTTGGTGGTACACCCGCTGAAGATGAGACCCGAGACACCGCCGTCTGGCTCTCTGACGCCGCGATCTACCAGTGGGACGACGATTTCGGCGATGTTGGAGAGCCTAACCCTGAGCTCGAGAAGATGCTCTTCGCCGATGAGTATCTCCAGCGCGCCGGCGGTGCTATCAAGGCGCTCTCGTTCGACGTGACTCTCTCAGGTCCCACCAAGATCAGCCCCGTCCGCAACGTAAGTCACTACAACTTGGGCCTGAAGGTCTTCGCGTACTCCATTGCTAACTTGTATCAGTTCGAAGATGCAGGTCTCCACCCGATCATGCTTGAAAACGTCAAGCTGTGCCAGTACAAGTACCCGACTCCGATCCAGTCCTACTGCATTCCTGCTATCCTGACTGGGCACGACGTTGTTGCCGTTGCACAGACTGGTAAGTCGCCTCGTCCTCACTCACTCTGCTTCTTACTAACATTACCTAGGTTCCGGCAAGACTGCTGCGTTCCTCCTCCCGATTCTGTCCAAGCTCATGGGCAAGGCCCGTCAACTCGCTGCGCCGCGCCCCAACCCGGTCCGCTACAACCCTCTCACCGACAAAGTCCGTGCGGAGCCGCTCGTCCTGGTCGTCTGCCCTACGCGTGAGCTTGCTTGTCAGGTAAGTTTCCATCATACGAAATACATGCTGAACGTATACTGACCTGGGTTCGTGATAGATCTTTGACGAGGCGCGTCGTCGTAGGTACCCCAGTACGAAATTCATATGAGACACATACTGACTTCATACCCTCCGTTTAGTGTGCTACCGTACTATGCTGCGTCCTTGCGTCATCTACGGTGGCGCCCCCAGCAGGAATCAGCGGGAACAGCTCGAGATGGGCTGTGATATTCTCATCGCGACTCCGGGTCGCCTCATGGACTTTATGTCCAACATTAACCTGCTGTCCTTCAACCGCCTGAAGTAAGTCAAGCAATCTTGTAAGGTGCTTTATAACTGACTAACATGAACAGGTTCACCGTAATTGACGAGGCTGACGAGCTTCTCTCCACTGGTTGGGAAGAGGCTATGGAGAAGTTGTTCGCTGGTTCAGGTATGTCGACACACTCTTCCCAGCATGGACTTCCAAGAATTACTTGCTGGATCATTTTTGTATCACATACTGACAACCGCTTAGACCAGAACGACGACGCCGACCACACGTATCTCATGTTCTCCGCCACGTTCCCCAAGTCAGCTCGTCGTCTGACACGTGAATACATGGATGAGGATTGCGTCCGTATCAGTACGTTTCTACTTCCCCAGTTTGACGAGCAACCCGCTCACGATATACAGAGGTTGGTAGGGTCGGCAGTACCCATCAAAACATCACCCAGCAGGTCATCTTCGCAGAGGAGAGCGCCAAGAGCCAAGCACTGTTCGACTTGATCTTCAGCGAAGGCCCTCAGCGGTACGTACAGCCCCTCTGACATCTGAAACGAGCGCAAGATGCTAACTTTGCCATCATAGCACCCTCGTCTTCACCAACTCCAAGGTGAAGTGCGACATGGTCGATGACTTCCTGTACAACAAGGGCATGCCTGTCACCTCGATCCACTCAGACCGCACACAGCGTGAGCGTGAAGATGCTCTTCGCTCATTCCGTACCGGCCGCTGCCCCATTCTCGTCGCTACCGGAGTCACTGCGCGTGGTCTGGACGTCGCCAACGTCAAGCATGTAATCAACTACGATCTTCCTTCCACTATGCATGACGGCATTACTGAGTATATCCACCGCATTGGCCGTACCGCGCGTATCGGCAACGAGGGCAAGGCGACGTCCTTCTTCAACGACCGTAACGAAGACATTGGCGAAGACCTCTGCAAGATTCTGTGCGAGAGCAAGCAGGCAATTCCAGAGTTTCTCCAAGAGCACATGCCCGAGGATCCCAACACTATCGAGTGGCACGACGGCACTGACGATGAGTCTGATGACGGTCTTGGTGGTGGCTTTGGTGGTGGTGACGCGGGAGGTTTCGACGCTGAGGCTACTGGCTTCGGTGGAGAGGCTGCCGCTGATACTGGATTCGGTGGCGATGACGGCGGTTTCGGTGGAGGTGGAGGAGGCTTCTCTGCTGATGCCGACGCCGACGACAAGGCCGCTGCCTGGTAAGCTGCTTTGGTTCTCCAAAGTCCTTCACCGTCTCCCAAAAGTGCTTAGCTAGCCTGCTTCATGCGGCTTGCTTTCGTCGCCTGCGCCTCCACGGCTTCAGGCTGAGTACTCCGGTTAACGATTCACGTTTCACGACATGACGCGACAACGACTTCTCCTTCGCGGTGGTCCAGGGCCTTGCATATGAGTTGCAGGGTGCAGTACCGCTGATATGTGGCATGATGATCATGGTCAGCTAGTCTACATATTCCAAATGTCAGAGTAAATCTGGGAACCATGTTCTTGTCAATGCTTTTGTGATGTGACGTTCGGTACTTTGACATTGCCAGGTGTAGCAACGAGCACGTTCATTCAACGGGTCCTTTTCACACAGGTGTATGCCCCGGAGTTGTGAAAATCAGAACCAGAAGGTATCTACATTGGGCATGAACTGACACAAGACAGTGCTAATAGAAAGTGCCCAGGTGTGGTGGATGACCCCTGCGATGCTTCGCGCAATCAAGCTTTGGCCTAGCCGGGGCCGGCTTGAAACACCATCAACAATTTCGGCAACGCACGATCTCCCTGTATCGCATCGCAGCGCGAACAACTTCTGACGTCACACCCGACCATGGCTTCCGTGCCTTCCAGCTGGGCACACAGTCCGCGTCCCCCTTAGTCCTTTTGAACGCGCAACGCACATTGCTCACTCAGCATTCAATGCGTGACGCAGCCGCATACAACGAGTCCTCCGCGTCATGAACGCCATCGCCCTGTCTACCTCCGTGTCGTAATCACGATGAGCAGCTATTTCCATTCGATTGCCTATTTTTTCCGCCTCCCCTTCCACATACAATGGCGGTAAGAGATCCCGTAATAAATAATGCGCAAGGCCGAGACTGACTGCATCCAGCACTGCGCTTGTCCAAATACCGCGATTCGTTCCTCTCTCCATCCTACACGTCACGTCGCCTAAGGGGCCGCATCCTTTTCTCATATCGCTGCCGAGTCGGAAAGACAACCTCATCTACTGCTACGTCTTTGTTCCGCCGAAACCAGTCGATCTCGATGGCAATGGCGACCAGGAGAGGAAAGAGACTGGGGAATGGCGTGTGCCTGTGGTGCTGGACTTTCATGGTATGGGACGCGTATGTCTCCAAGGACGCTATGGCTAACGAAACCAGGCGGAGGCTTCATAATGGGATCGCCCTTGGAGCAAGCCCCGTATGCGTCGATGATGTCGCGTGAGCTCGGCGCCGTAGTCATCAGCGTTTCCTACCGTATCGGACCCTTCCACCAATTCCCCGCCGCTATCCACGACGCGGAAGACGTCTTGTCCGCGATCCTAGACACGAGTGGAGTTTCGAAAGCCGGCAAGGTCCTTAGAGAGGAAATTCAGCGGTACTACTCCATAGTACGGGATGGCGCGCTGGAAAAGAAGAAGAAGGAACCTCTTGCACCACACCTTGAGCACGTCAAGACCATCACCCTCGACCCTACACGTCTTGCGATTTCTGGGTTCTCGGCAGGAGGAAACATCGCCTTGAACATGGCTATATCAGTACCGCCCTGTCCTGAGCTCGGCATGTCGACCACATTTGGTCCTCGCTCGCGCACGAATGACCCTGCGCATGCAGACACCATGTCGCCCATCATGCCCGAAAACCGCCGAGCCACGATCCTAGACGACCCCTTCGAGTCGTGGCCCTCTCTCCTACCTCCCGCTCAAGCACAGCCCCGCATGCTGCCACTCCTCCTATTCTACCCTTCGCTCGACGCACGCCTACTCCCACACGAGCGCCCCATGAAGCCCTTGCCCAATGCGCTGCGACCAGACGACCACCACAAACAGAAGCCGAAAGCACCTGGCCTATTCTCAATCATGGGCCCGACCTACCTCCCGCGCAAACTACGACCGCACCCGCGAGCCAGCCCCGGTTTGAACGACCCAATGCACATCCATAAGAACGCCGCCATCCTCCTCGTGCTCCCCGAAAAAGACACTCTAGCCGTGCAAAGCGACGTCTGGGTCGACAAGATGAACAACAACGACTGGAACGGGCCTGTACGCTTCGGCGACGGGCGCTCAGGCGACTGGGACGGACGCCAAGGTGGACAAGCGGGATCGGACAATGTGCCCAGTAGCCAGAACGGAGGCATGGAAGTGTGGCACGCACCTGGGTGCAGACATGGTTGGACGCAGTTTCCGGATACTTTTGTACCTCAGCATGAGCGCAGTGAGCGGGAATTGGTGTTTGCACGGACGTTGGATTTTGTCAGGGATAATTGGAAGAAGGAGTTGCAGGTTGAGAAGCAGCAGCTGGGGAATCAGATTCAGGAGTTGAGGAGGTTGAGTATACCTGGTGAGGATGAGTGAGGGGGCTAGTGGGTTCATATCATTGGTATGATTCGACTCGTACTGTTGGTCAACATGACGAGCGAGTATATGCATTTGTAGGTGTTGTAATGAACGTTTTATCCAAAGGATGAGATATTTGCCTACAGACTGGTTCTAGGGTGATAAGATGATCAATATGGTTATCCTCAACAGCAAGCATTTGTTCCAGCATTTTAATATCGTGCGGTACACCAGTGAGTCCCTGGCACTATTTTGGATGCAAGGGCAGCAGGGAGACGATATATCATCCCAAATCCCACGAGGGACTTACATCAGCTCAAACTCCAGCGATTACTTACCTCGTTACAAGCACGCTGGTACAAGCGACATGCCCGCTACATCGACTTCTCCAACTCGCCTTTCTTGCTTGCGACGTCATATCGCGAAGATTCGACCCGCATATTTCCCTATACCCTGCCGTACCCCGTACCACTCACACAAAATCCCCGGAGCCACCCCAGTTTACTATATGCCTTTGGTCTCCTGTTCGGTATTACTCGCACTGGATCAGCGGGTCGTGAAACAAGCAGGTGACTAGGAGAAATGCCGAGGCGCTTGGCTGAAGTAAGGAGTGTCTTGGGGGGAAGGTTGTGTGTTGCTTAGGCGGCTTGGCTTGACAGCGCAGTTTTTGCGGGATGGACGGGACGTTGTTGTGTGACGGTGGGAGATGGGTGAGATGGGATTGGTGCGGTAGAGAGGGGGAGGGAGCGAGGGAGCGAGTGTCTGGTGATGTGGAATGACGATACGAGGAAGACGTCCAGGTCTAGAGGTGTGCAGAGTATACTGTAGTACTGTCGATATAGTTCATCTTTACAGATCAAAGGTCTGTTCGCAGCAAAGCAACATCCCAGTCTGTCACTGCTAGCTCTTCGCATGTCGCGACGAGTAACCCAGCTTCTAACGTTTTAGCCCAGTTTGAAACCACACTGCACACTTCAGGCAAGTATGGCGCAAGCAAGCAACATTAGTACGCGCGCCGCTGCCGAGTCAAACTAGCAAATGAGGGGTAATCCCAAACTACATCGCTCGTACTTTCCACATTCCAACACGTGGTGCTGGTGGAGGAGAGCGCCGATGTATGTGTGTTTACGACGCTGCTGATATCACGCGCATATGATGAGGATCGGTTGTTCGGGAATGGAAGGGAGGAACTACGTCATATTGCGATGCAGAGACAAGGATTAGATGTAAGAGGACGGCAGACAGCTGTTCAGGCCTGACCGCAAGTAGCAAGCCGTGCCGGCTACCGGGTAATACCCAAGCTGCGTACTGTACACTGCGTAAGTTGTGTGGGGTACCTTTCTTCCTACACAGCCGTAGCAGATACGTATGTATGGAGGAGTACGAAGCAACAGGACGCTGGTATTGGCGCGAAAACCACGCGTGGGGGTTGTTAAGCAGGAGCGTCACGCGTCATGGGGTACGGGTGCCTTCCCCGCGAATACAATGTCGGCGATTGGGACAGGCTCGTTTGGAGCCGGCTGAGGCGCTTGCTGGCGAAATGTTGTACTGCGTCGCAGCGAACGGAACCCCAGACGTGAGATGGACCCTCTTACTGGGCACTGCACGCGGCGATGCACGACAAGTATCGTGCAGCTGCAGATTGGCGGCAGAGCACGGTGGGTTAAACCGGTATCCCGTTCTTGAGGCTTGAATGGAGTCAGATGATGGACTACTTTCTACCGTGTAGACGCGTCCTCTTTGGACTAAGGTGAGGCGCGGGTGTAGGAGAAGCGGTCAAGTAGCGGTGTGGAGGTGGAAGCAAGAGATGAAGCTGCCATGTGGAGCTGAGAGAAGGGAGAAGGAAGGAGATATGGAAACATGGCGAGGAATGAGGCATTTGAGGAAAATGGTATCAAGCCGCCGTGCTTGGGGTTGAGCAGAGGGCGTGCATGTGGTCGTGTTGATGCATGCGACGTCGGACAGATGGTACAAAAGAAGGTGTGAGGGCTGGCTAGCGGGGCGTTGTCGGCGGCGTCGCGTTGATCAGGGTCCTGCTTCCGAAGCTTGCGGAATTCAGCATGGCATGGGCTGCGCTGCTCGATTGCGTCTTGCATCGGCTGTGCTGGAAGGATGAAACCTGCTTTGGCATACTCCCAGGTGCTGGAGTATTCTAGTCGCAGATGTCATCTCCGCACTGACAAGGGGAGGAAGTCAATAGTCAACAACAAAGGCGATAACAAAGCAATACAAAGGTCGCAACAAAGTTCATTGATTGTTGATGAGTGAGGGTGACTGCGCGCAGAGATTGCCGAATCTGACGGCCAAAAGGCTCGTGTCACGGAAGTGCAGGTGTGGCAGCGTGAGCAGGTGCATTGCTAGACCAGTGCACAATTGACAAAGGCGCAGCGTGGCATTGGCTGCGCGGGCGTGGGCGCGAATTAAAATGCCGGCTACCCACTGTTTGTGCTTTGCAGACCAGATGGTGCCGAGCCGCCAGAGCGCATATCAAATTCCTCGCTCCCTCTCTCCTACGACCAGTCCCACCTGCGTTGCGCCACTACTGTTGCAGTCTGAAGTCGTCTGACAGCACAGCTTGGCCCTCGATCTGCACCGTCCCTAGCATCGCTCACTCGCGCACTTGTCAACGGGCCCTCTGCTAGCCTGCGGCCCGTCGCCACAC